TATATATTTGTGATTTCTAGTCTACTATGTGTTATATATTTGTGATTTCTAGTTTACTATATGTTATATATTTGTGATGTCGAGTCTAGTTTGTGTTATATATTTGTGATTTCTAGTCTACTATGTATTATATATTTGTGATTTCTAGTCTATTATGTGTTATATATTCGTGATTTCAGGTCTACTATGTGTTATATTTTTGTGATTTCTAGTCTACTATGTGTTATATTTTTGTGATTTCTAGTCTACTATATGTTATATATTTGTGATTTCTAGTCTATTATGTGTTATATATTTCAGATTTCTAGTCTACTATATGCTATAAATTTGTGATTTCTAGTCTACTATGTGTTATATATTTGTGATTTCTAGTCTACTATATATTATATATTTATGATGTCTAGTCTAGTTTGTGTTATATATTTGTGATTTCTAGTCTACTATGTGTTATATATTTGTGATTTCTAGTCTACTTTGTGTGCTATATTTGTGATTTCTAGTCTACTTTGTATTATATATTTGTGATTTCTAGTCTATTATGTGTTATAAATTCGTGATTTCAGGTCTACTATGTGTTATATTGTTGTCATTTCAATTCTGACATGTGTTATATATTTGTGATTTCAAGTCTATTATGTGTTATATATTTGTGATTTCTAGTCTATTATGTGTAATATATATTTGTGATTTCTAGTCTACTATGTGTTATATATTTGTGATTTCTAGTCTACTATGTATTATATATTTGTGATTTCTAGTCTATCATGTGTTATATATTCGTGATTTCAGGTCTACTATGTGTTATATTGTTGTCATTTCAATTCTGACATATGTTATATATTTGTGATTTCAAGTCTACTATGTGTTATATATTTGTGATTTCTAGTCTATTATGTGTAATATATATTTGTGATTTCTAGTCTACTATGTGTTATATATTTGTGATTTCTAGTCTACTTTGTATTATATATTTGTGATTTCTAGTCTATTATGTGTTATAAATTCGTGATTTCAGGTCTACTATGTGTTATATTGTTGTCATTTCAATTCTGACATGTGTTATATATTTGTGATTTCAAGTCTATTATGTGTTATATATTTGTGATTTCTAGTCTATTATGTGTAATATATATTTGTGATTTCTAGTCTACTATGTGTTATATATTTGTGATTTCTAGTCTACTATGTATTATATATTTGTGATTTCTAGTCTATTATGTGTTATATATTCGTGATTTCAGGTCTACTATGTGTTATATTTTTGTGATTTCTAGTCTACTATGTGTTATATTTTTGTGATTTCTAGTCTACTATATGTTATATATTTGTGATTTCTAGTCTATTATGTGTTATATATTTCAGATTTCTAGTCTACTATATGCTATAAATTTGTGATTTCTAGTCTACTATGTGTTATATATTTGTGATTTCTATTCTACTATATATTATATATTTATGATGTCTAGTCTAGTTTGTGTTATATATTTGTGATTTCTAGTCTACTATGTGTTATATATTTGTGATTTCTAGTCTACTTTGTGTGCTATATTTGTGATTTCTAGTCTACTTTGTATTATATATTTGTGATTTCTAGTCTATTATGTGTTATAAATTCGTGATTTCAGGTCTACTATGTGTTATATTGTTGTCATTTCAATTCTGACATGTGTTATATATTTGTGATTTCAAGTCTATTATGTGTTATATATTTGTGATTTCTAGTCTATTATGTGTAATATATATTTGTGATTTCTAGTCTACTATGTGTTATATATTTGTGATTTCTAGTCTACTATGTATTATATATTTGTGATTTCTAGTCTATTATGTGTTATATATTCGTGATTTCAGGTCTACTATGTGTTATATTGTTGTCATTTCAATTCTGACATGTGTTATATATTTGTGATTTCAAGTCTACTATGTGTTATATATTTGTGATTTCTAGTCTATTATGTGTAATATATATTTGTGATTTCTAGTCTACTATGTGTTATATATTTGTGATTTCTAGTCTACTATGTATTATATATTTGTGATTTCTAGTCTATTATGTGTTATATATTCGTGATTTCAGGTCTACTATGTGTTATATTTTTGTGATTTCTAGTCTACTATGTGTTATATTTTTGTGATTTCTAGTCTACTATATGTTATATATTTGTGATTTCTAGTCTATTATGTGTTATATATTTCAGATTTCTAGTCTACTATATGCTATAAATTTGTGATTTCTAGTCTACTATGTGTTATATATTTGTGATTTCTAGTCTACTTTGTGCGCTATATTTGTGATTTCTAGCCTATTATGTGTTATATATTTCAGATTTCTAGTCTACTGTATGCTATAAATTTGTGATTTCTCGTCTACTATGTGTTATATTTTTGTGATTTCTAGTCTACTTTGTGTGCTATATTTGTGATTTCTAGTCTACTTTGTATTATATATTTGTGATTTCTAGTCTATTATGTGTTATAAATTCGTGATTTCAGGTCTACTATGTGTTATATTGTTGTCATTTCAATTCTGACATGTGTTATATATTTGTGATTTCAAGTCTATTATGTGTTATATATTTGTGATTTCTAGTCTATTATGTGTAATATATATTTGTGATTTCTAGTCTACTATGTGTTATATATTTGTGATTTCTAGTCTACTATGTATTATATATTTGTGATTTCTAGTCTATTATGTGTTATATATTCGTGATTTCAGGTCTACTATGTGTTATATTTTTGTGATTTCTAGTCTACTATGTGTTATATTGTTGTCATTTCAATTCTGACATGTGTTATATATTTGTGATTTCAAGTCTACTATGTATTATATATTTGTGATTTCTAGTCTATTATGTGTTATATATTTGCGACTTTTAGTCTACTAAGTGTTATAAGATTTTATCGTGTATTGTCTGTATTTCCCAGGCTGGTGCTTGTTAAGATGTTTGGTATAACCTACTGTTGTACTCTTTGTCCTTTTATATATTCTACTGTCCTTTTATATATTCTATTGTCCTTTTATACATTCTACTGTCCTTTTATATATTCTAATGTCCTTTTATATATTCTACTGTCCTTTCTGATTGTTCATGTGTATTCACATTTTACTGCTGTGTTACATTTTACCGTGTGGTTATGTGCAGTGTTAACATACGTCTGATGGGGTCAGGAACGTATTCCTTGTACTCTTTCATGTTTTCCCGGGGGGTAGCGATCTTGTAAACATGCATTCTCGCCATCAGTTCTAGGATACTTTCCTCTGCACCCTGGACATTCCAAGCCCGCTCTGTCCCTACGGACGCTGTCATCCCGATGATCTGGTGAAGAAGAACATTACATAGGACAGAAGAAACATCCTCCGTAGGACATACACAAGTTAATTCGTCGCCACTGTACCAATCAAATGTACTCATTAAACAACATAAGCCAAAAATGAAAGCACACATTATCACTCACTAGCAATATAGAAAACCGTATACCTTGCGGAAGTATATTGATATGGACATACATCCGCCGTATACCTTGTGGCAGTATATAGATATGGACAAACGACGGCCGTATTCCTTGTGGACGTATATAGATATGGACAAACGACGGCCGTATTCCTGGTGGCAGTATATAGATATGGACAAACGACGGCCGTATACCTTGTGGACGTATATAGATATGGACACACGACGGCCGTATACCTTGTTGCAGTATATAGATATGTACATACATCCACCGTATACCTTGTGGCAGTATAAAGATATAGACATACATCCGCCGTATACCTTGTGGCATACCTGGTGGCAGTATATAGATATGGACACACGAAGGCCGTATACCTTGTGGCAGTATATATATAGGGACATACACCCGCCGTATACTTTGTGGCAGTATATATGGACATCCATATAGATATGGACACACGACGGCCTTATACCTTGTTGCAGTATATAGATATGGACACACGACGGATATGGACACACGACGGCCGTATACCTGGTCGCAGTATATAGATATGGACACACGACAGCCGTATACCTTGTGGCAGTATATATATATGGACACACGACGGCCGTATACTTTGTGGCAGTATATATATATGGACACACGACGGCCGTATACCTGGTCGCAGTATATAGATATGGACAAACGACGGCTGTATACCTTGTGGCAGGATATAGAGATGGACAAACGACGGCCGTATACCTCGTGGACGTATATAGATATGGACACACGACGGATATGGACACACGACGGCCGTATACCTTGTTGGAGTATATAGATATGTACATACATCCTCCGTATACCTTGTGGCAGTATATATATATGGACACACGACGGCCGTATACTTTGTGGCAGTATATATATATGGACACACGACGGCCGTATACCTGGTGGCAGGATATAGATATGGACACACGACGGCCTTATACTTTGTGGCAGTATATAGATATGGACATGGACACACGACGGCCGTATACCTGGTCGCAGTATATAGATATGGACACACGACAGCCGTATACCTTGTGGCAGTATATATATATGTACATACATCCGCCGTATACCTTTTGGCAGTATAAAGATATAGACATACGTCCGCCGTATACCTGGTGGCAGTATATAGATATGGACATACGACGGCCGTATACCTGGTGGCAGTATATAGATAAGGACAAACGACGGCCGTATACCTTGTGGACGCATATAGATATGGACACACGACGGCCGAATACCTTGTGGCAGTATATAGATATAGACATACATCCGCCGTATCCCTTGTGGCAGTATATAGATATTGACACACGACGGCCGTATACCTTGTTGGAGTATATAGATATGTACATACATCCTCCGTATACCTTGTGGCAGTATATATATAGGGACATACACCCGCCGTATACTTTGTGGCAGTATATATATATGGACATACATCCGCCGTATACCTTGTGGCAGAATATAGATATGGACACACGACGGCCTTATACTTTGTGGCAGTATATAGATATGGACATGGACACACGACGGCCGTATACCTTGTTGGAGTATATAGATATGTACATACATCCTCCGTATACCTTGTGGCAGTATATATATATGGACACACGACGGCCGTATACCTGGTGGCAGTATATAGATATGGACATACGACGGCCGTATACCTGGTGGCAGTATATAGATAAGGACAAACGACGGCCGTATACCTTGTGGACGTATATAGATATGGACACACGACGGCCTTATACTTTGTGGCAGTATATAGATATGTACATACATCCGCCGTATACTTTGTGGCAGTATATATATATGGACATACATCCGCCGTATACCTTGTGGCATTATATAGATATGGACATACATCCGCCGCATACCTTGTGGCAGTATATAGATATGGACACAAGACGGCCGTATACCTTGTGGCAGTTTATAGATATGTACATACATCCGCCGTATACCTTGTGGCAGTATATAGATATGTACACACATCCGCCGTATACTTTGTGGAAGTATATATGGACATCCGATATGGACACACGACGGGCTTATACTTTGTGGCAGAATATAGATATGGACACACGACGGCCATATACTTTGTGGCAGTATTTAGATATGGACACACGACGGCCGTATTCTTTGTGGCAGTATATATGGACATCCTCCGTATACCTTGTGGCAGAATAAAGATATAGACATACTATATAGATATGTACATACACCCGCCGTATACCTTGGGGCAGTATATAGATATGGACATACATCCGCCGTATACCTTGTGGCAGAATATAGATATGGACACACGACGGCCTTATACTTTGTGGCAGTATATAGATATGGACACACGACGGCCGTATACTTTGTGGCAGTATATATGGACATCCGCCGTATACCTTGTGGCAGTATATATATATGGACATACATCCGCCGTATACTTTGTGGCAGTATATATGGACATCCGCCGTATACCTTGTGGCAGTATATAGATATGGACATACATCCGCCGTATACCTTGTAGCAGTATAAAGATATGAACACACGACGGCCGTATACCTTGTGGCAGTATATAGATATGTACATACATCCACCGTCTACCTTGTGGCAGTATAAAGATATAGACATACACCCGCCGTATACCTTGTGGCAGTATATAGATATGGACACACAACGGCCGTATACCTTGTGGCAGTATATAGATATGTACATACATCCACCGTCTACCTTGTGGCAGTATAAAGATATAGACATACACCCGCCGTATACCTTGTGGCAGTATATATGGACATCCGCCGTATACATTGTGGCAGTATATATATTTATGGACATACATCCCCCGTATACCTTGTGGCAGTATATATATATATATAGACATACATCCGGCGTATACTTTGTGGCAGTATATATGGACATCCGCCGTATACCTTGTGGCAGTATATATATATATATGGACATACATCCGCTGTATACTTTGTGGCAGTATATATGGACATCCGCCGTATACCTTGTGGCAGTATATAGATATGGACACACGACGGCCGTATACCTTGTGGCAGTATATAGATATCGACATACAATCGCCGTATACCTTTTGGCAGTATATAGATATGGACAAACGACGGCCGTATACCTTGTGGCAGTATATATGGACATCCGCCGTATTCCTTGTGGCAGTATATAGATATCGACATACAATCGCCGTATACCTTTTGGCAGTATATATGGACATCAGCCGTATACCTTGTGGCAGCATATAGATATGGACACACGCCGGCCGTATACCTTGTGGCCGTATATAGATATGGACACACTACGGCCGTATCCCTTGTGGAAGTATATATGGACATCCGCCGTATTCCTTGTGGCAGTATATATAGATATGGACACACAACGGCCGTATACCTTGGGGCAGTATATATGGACATCCGCCGTATACTTTGTGGCAGTATATATATATGGACATACAACCGCCGTATACCTTGTGGCAGTATATAGATATGGACACACGACGGCCGTATACCTTGTGGCAGTATATATAGATATGGACACACGACGGCTGTATACCTTGTGGCAGTATATAGATATGGACAAACGACGGCCGTATACCTTGTGGCAGTATATAGATATGGACATACCTGTGGTTGTTTGGCGGCGCTGTCATCCTGGTGTAATTTCCTGTAGTGTGCCATTATCTGATTATAAAGTTCGTTTTTTCGTGTATGGTGACACTCGTCAAATACGAGCATAGAGAATACATTGAGAGATACGGATCCACTGTTCAGGCAGTTCCAGAGGATCCCCGGGGTAAGAACACACACGCGACATCTCTGTACCATGGCGGATAGGCGTTCACCGATTAGCTGGTTCTTCCCGCTGAACATTCGGATCTGGTGCTACCGGTATAGAAACATATACATAGGACTGATACCATAGCTTGCGTCAAAAACAGGATGTGGAAAGCTGTCAACATTCTAGTTCAGTTGAAATACAGAAATGTCACCATTTCGAATAAGTAATTCATGGTTAATGCTTTAGATTTCTAGAAACCAGTTTTTGTTGGCAANGGGGGGGGGGGGGGGGGGGGGGGGGGGGGTCATGTTTTAGAGCGCTTAGGACTCTTACAACAATATTGCAACTAGGTAGCAAGACCATGGGGTTGTAGGTGATGATGACGATCATTTCCGATATTTCTCGGTTACTGTGTTATTCAGAAGGACTTAGTTCCACTGGGACTTTGTTTTAGAAACTACAAATAATTAGTGAGGTTTAGCAACAATACGGGTACGTGAACGTGTAAGCGACACGTCAGACTTTGAAGACGTTTAGAAGCATTACGTGTACGTGTACATGGCTATTTAATCCAATCAAAAAGCTGGTTACAGCAGTACTTTTTTCCAAGAAAGATGTCGACATGTCGTCTGCTTGCAGTAATTGAAGAAGATGGCGGTTTTCTCCTTTTGACAACATTGTAAGATTTAGATTACGCCGGAAAAAGATAAGCCACTGTTTGATTTTGCAAACTTGTCTAATGAACAATGTAAAACTTCGCTTTGAAAAAGACGATATTCCTTTGTTAGCCAATGCCCTTCGTATCCCACCGAAACTCGAATGCCCAAATCGAACGGTGTACTCCGGTCTCTATGTATACTCCTCAGACGTTTGACTTACCCAAACCATCCTGGTGACGTGTACCATTGATTCAGAGGTCTCTGACAGCAATGTCGTTTATTATCAACGAACTTCTTGATTTTCTGCATGGAAATCATGGACATTTACTGCGTGAGTTAAACATGTCTTGTCTGTCATATCAACATATTGATGAATTTTCTAATGCCATCAGATCACGTCATGACCTGTTCCAAACTGTTGGGGTTTTATAGATGGAACTGTGAGGCATATATGCAGACCAACACACAATCAACGATTAGCTTACAACGGACATAAGAGAGCGCATGCGCTTAAAATCAACTGTGGCGGTACCCAATGGCCTTGTTGCCAATATGTGTTGGTAATGGAGGGTAGGCGACATGATGCTGGACTTCTCAGGGAGAGTCACCTGGAGGGACGAATGCGGAGGCATATGACACTACCAACCGGACATATATATTCTCTCTATGGTGACCCCACAAACCCCCTCACGACCTACAACATAACGCCATTCAGAGGAGGAGTCATTTCCGCTAACCAGGCAAAATTCAACAATTAAATATTTGTCGCATTTGTGTCGAATGGAGTTTCGTGAAGATTTTGGCGCTTTTTACGTTTCTTGATCATAAGAAAATCCACAAACTATATTTGCAACTTGTAGGAAAGTACTTGCTAATAGGAACACTCTTATCTAATTGTCTTACATGTATGTATGATAGCGTTGTCTTACATGTATGTATGGTAGCGTTGTCCTACATGTATGTATGGTAGCGTTGTCTTACGTGTATGTATGGTAGCGTTGTCCTACATGTATGTATGGTAGCGTTGTCTTACATGTATGTATGGTAGCGTTGTCTTACATGTATGTATGGTAGCGTTGTCTTACATGTATGTATGGTAGCGTTGTCTTACATGTATGTATGGTAGCGTTGTCTTACATGTATGTATGGTAGCGTTGTCTTACATGTATGTATGGTAGCGTTGTCTTACATGTATGTATGGTAGCGTTGTCTTACATGTATGTATGGTAGCGTTGTCTTACATGTATGTATGGTAGCGTTGTCTTACATGTATGTATGGTAGCGTTGTCTTACATGTATGTATGGTAGCGTTGTCTTACATGTATGTATGGTAGCGTTGTCTTACATGTATGTATGGTAGCGTTGTCTTACATGTATGTATGGTAGCGTTGTCTTACATGTATGTATGGTAGCGTTGTCTTACATGTATGTATGGTAGCGTTGTCTTACATGTATGTATGGTAGCGTTGTCTTACATGTATGTATGGTAGCGTTGTCTTACATGTATGTATGGTAGCGTTGTCTTACATGTATGTATGGTAGCGTTGTCTTACATGTATGTATGGTAGCGTTGTCTTACATGTATGTATGGTAGCGTTGTCTTACATGTATGTATGGTAGCGTTGTCTTACATGTATGTATGGTAGCGTTGTCTTACATGTATGTATGGTAGCGTTGTCTTACATGTATGTATGGTAGCGTTGTCTTACATGTATGTATGGTAGCGTTGTCTTACATGTATGTATGGTAGCGTTGTCTTACATGTATGTATGGTAGCGTTGTCTTACATGTATGTATGGTAGCGTTGTCTTACATGTATGTATGGTAGCGTTGTCTTACATGTATGTATGGTAGCGTTGTCTTACATGTATGTATGGTAGCGTTGTCTTACATGTATGTATGGTAGCGTTGTCTTACATGTATGTATGGTAGCGTTGTCTTACATGTATGTATGGTAGCGTTGTCTTACATGTATGTATGGTAGCGTTGTCTTACATGTATGTATGGTAGCGTTGTCTTACATGTATGTATGGTAGCGTTGTCTTACATGTATGTATGGTAGCGTTGTCTTACATGTATGTATGGTAGCGTTGTCTTACATGTATGTATGGTAGCGTTGTCTTACATGTATGTATGGTAGCGTTGTCTTACATGTATGTATGGTAGCGTTGTCTTACATGTATGTATGGTAGCGTTGTCTTACATGTATGTATGGTAGCGTTGTCTTACATGTATGTATGGTAGCGTTGTCTTACATGTATGTATGGTAGCGTTGTCTTACATGTATGTATGGTAGCGTTGTCTTACATGTATGTATGGTAGCGTTGTCTTACATGTATGTATGGTAGCGTTGTCTTACATGTATGTATGGTAGCGTTGTCTTACATGTATGTATGGTAGCGTTGTCTTACATGTATGTATGGTAGCGTTGTCTTACATGTATGTATGGTAGCGTTGTCTTACATGTATGTATGGTAGCGTTGTCTTACATGTATGTATGGTAGCGTTGTCTTACATGTATGTATGGTAGCGTTGTCTTACATGTATGTATGGTAGCGTTGTCTTACATGTATGTATGGTAGCGTTGTCTTACATGTATGTATGGTAGCGTTGTCTTACATGTATGTATGGTAGCGTTGTCTTACATGTATGTATGGTAGCGTTGTCTTACATGTATGTATGGTAGCGTTGTCTTACATGTATGTATGGTAGCGTTGTCTTACATGTATGTATGGTAGCGTTGTCTTACATGTATGTATGGTAGCGTTGTCTTACATGTATGTATGGTAGCGTTGTCTTACATGTATGTATGGTAGCGTTGTCTTACATGTATGTATGGTAGCGTTGTCTTACATGTATGTATGGTAGCGTTGTCTTACATGTATGTATGGTAGCGTTGTTTTACGTGTATGTATGATAGCGTTGTCTTACATGTATCTATGGTAGCGTTGTCCTACATGTATGTATGGTAGCGTTGTTTTACATGTATGTATGGTAGCGTTGTCCTACATGTATGTATGGTAGCGTTGACTTACGTGTATGTATGATAGCGTTGTTTTACATGTATGTATGGTAGCGTTGTATTACATGTATCTATGATAGCGTTGTCTTACGTGTATGTATGGTAGCGTGGTCTTACATGTATGTATGGTAGCGTTGTCTTACGCGTATGTATGGTAGCGTTGTTTTACATGTATTGATAGCGTTGTCTTACATGTATCTATGGTAGCGTTGTCTTACATGTATGTATAATAGCGTTGCCCTACATGTATGTATTGTAGGGTTGTCCTACATGTATGTATTGTAGAGTTGTCCTACATGTATGTATGGTAGCGTTGACTTACGTGTATCTATGGTAGCGTTGTCTTACGTGTATGTATGGTATATGTATGGTAGCGTTGTTTTACATGTATGTATGGTAGCGTTGACTTACGTGTATCTATGGTAGCGTTGTCTTACGTATATGTATGGTAGCGTTGTCTTACATGTATCTATGAAAGCGTTGTCTTACGTGTATGTATGGTAGCGTTGTCTTACATGTATCTATGAAAGCGTTGTCTTACGTGTATGTATGGTAGCGTTGTCTTACATGTGTGTATGGTAGCGTTGTCTTACGTGTATGTATGGTATATGTATGGTAGCGTTGTTTTACATGTATGTATGGTAGCGTTGTCCTAGATGTATGTATGGTAGAGTTGTCCTACATGTATGTATGGTAGCGTTGACTTACGTGTATCTATGGTAGCGTTGTCTTACGTATATGTATGGTAGCGTTGTCTTACATGTATCTATGAAAGCGTTGTCTTACGTGTATGTATGGTAGCGTTGTCCTAGATGTATGTATGGTAGAGTTGTCCTACATGTATGTATGGTAGCGTTGACTTACGTGTATGTATGGTAGCGTTGTCTTTCATGTATGTATGGTAGCGTTGTTTTACATGTATGTATGGTAGCGTTGTCCTACGTGTATGTATGGTAGCGTTGTGTTACATCTATGTATGGTAGCGTTGTTGTACATGTATTTATGGGAGCGTTGTCCTACATGTATGTATGGTAGAGTTGTTTTACATGTATGGATGGTAGCGTTGTCCTACATGTATGTATGATAGCGTTGTCTTACCGTGTATGTATGATAGCGTTGTCTTACATGTTTGTATGGTAACGTTGTTTTACATGTTTGTATGGTAGCGTTGTCCTACATGTATGTATGGTAGCGTTGACTTACGTGTATCTATGGTAGCGTTGTCTTACGTGTATGTATGGTAGCGTTGTCTTACATGTATCTATGAAAGCGTTGTCTTACGTGTATGTATGGTAGCGTTGTCTTACATGTATATATGGTAGCGTTGTCTTACATGTATGAATGGTAGCGTTGTCCTACGTGTATGTATGGTAGCGTTGTCTTACATGTATCTATGAAAGCGTTGTCTTACGTGTATGTATGG